TAAAACACAAAGGCAATAAAGGAATTTGAAGCCACTGATACCCACAGGTACAACAACTACTCACCCATGCCCCAGTCAGATTACCATAGATTCTCACACTAAAGTCCATTTATCTCAGCACATTATTTGTTGTGTATATAAAAATCTGCTTTAAATGATAAAGATTCAGGTTAAAAGTAAAGAGATTTGGAAAAATGTATCATATTGCCACTAATTCAAAAAATGCTGGAGTAGCTATATTTATAGAAAAAAGCAGTCTTTAGAGCAAGGAAAATGGTCAGAGATGAAGAGTACTAGATAATAATAAAGAAGACAATGCTCCCAGAAGACGTACTAATTCTTAATGAGTATGTACCTAAGGACACTATGTGAAAAGATTTTAGGCAGTAACTGATAAAACTGACAGGAAAAATAACCAACCCACTATTTTAGATGGAGACATCAAATACCCCATGTCAATCATTGTTATGTCAAACAGGCAAAAACCTAATAAAGATATGGCTGACTGTTTCAGCACTATCAAGCAGTTTGATCTAATTGGCATTGACAGAATACCCCTTCCAACAACAAAATACACATTTTCTCTTTTTTGAGTATACATGGAGCATTCACCAAGACAGATTACATTCTAGGCCCTAAAACACAGCTGAACAAATTTATAAAGTTGTAAATTATGTAAAATATGTTCTCAAATCACAATGGATCAGAACTAGAATTATGTATCAGAAAGATACTTATAGGTGTTCAAATATTTAGAAATTTAGCAATTCACTATTAAATAGCACATCAATTAGAAAAAATCTCAAGACAAATTTAAAAATATTTTAAACTAAATAGAAATTAAAATATAACTTATTGAACTTTGTGAGATGTAGAACAATGTCTTTGTAAATTAAAATTTGAGTTACAAATTATTATACTTATCTTTTGGGTCCAAATTATAGCTTTTTATTCCAGTGTATCCGTATGAGATGCTTATAATAATCTTGTTCTAATAAAATTCAATGCATTTTTTATTCAGCATGTATAGATGCAAATTGACCTTGTAGAAACTTTCTGGGTTCTTATTTCTCTCTTCTTTTTTATTTATTTAAATTTCCTTGCGATGGAAATGTAAAACTCAAGTCACTTTCTCTTAGAAAATATAAATGCACAATAATTAGAGACCCAGAGAATTTTGAGAAGCGTGGGATTAGCCACTCGAGAATATGAGCTCACATCTGCAGCAAGTCTAAAAATGTTACGCAGACCTAATTCTTCAATACAAATGTAATTTTTTCTTAGCATTTTCATGTGGACATAAATTTGTGACTGTATTTGTTTAAACCCATTTATTACTTAATTTTTTATTGTGTCATTTCAACTAGGCTGCTGGGAAAATAATGCACTGTGCAGTTTGATACTACTATAATTTTGTGACTAACAGCCACAAAAGTATTTTAATATTGCCTAGTGATCCTTCTATTTTTTCTTAATTAACATTCTCTCATATTTTCTTCACTCTTTATTTTAAATCTTGTCCAATCTTTTCCCTTGAAACTCACCATCTTTACCAATCACCGCCTATGTCATAGTGAAAACGGACCTCATATGATAAATTCCTGAAGTTCCGAAGTCACAACCTTAATAGTCTACAATGATCTTGCTTCTTCTCTCCTACTGTGCACTGTGTTCATTGCTGTTTATGTTATCCCATACTTGTGATATCCCTATGTATCCTTTGCTTGTTATTTAAAGAAAAGTCTTTCACATTTTAGGACACATTTCTAACAACTTTACATACATATTGAAATATAAAAATATATGATTAGTATGATCAGATTTAGAGTTCCAGCTCAGCTTCTCATCTATGTTTATCTGTGTGTTTACCATTGATATCTGGGTACTTCTATAAGAAAATCATTCAGAAGGGCTTCAAATTTCATATATGCATGTGCTATTCTGATATCCAATCTCCCTTATCATTTGTTTCTCACCTGTTCCTCCTGGGGTTCTTTCTCTCCTTAGGTCAACAGCCTTCAAGATTAGTAAGTGTTATTGCCTTCCCCACATGTCTCAACTCCCCCAACTGTACCTACTAGTATGTACATTCCTCACTCTGCAAGTAAATAGATGCCGTTAAGATAAATAGTGTTCTTGTTAATCTCCCACATAAAATCTTCAAGTTCTCCATTGCCCTAACATTAAATGTGAGCTCCTTTACTGACAATGCTTGCCCCTCTTGATATACTATCAAAATCATAAGCTTATATTTTATGATAATTTATTTTCCCTCTGTATTAAAAGCTCAAATTATCTTCTTCAAACATACCCAGTATCACACTCATCTCAAAATCTTTAGCTAGACCTCTTCTCCTGGCATTCTCCTCCTGAGCGATTTTCCCAGGTGACTCCATTTCATGGTCCAAGCTTTACCCCTTTTCCTATTAAATGTACCTCCTGTGTGTTTTTAGAGTTCTCTAGACCATTTTTTATAACAAATTGGTAATGTTCCTTCTTTAGTAATCTAGCTCCTTCATTAAGTTTTTAGTTCTTTATATAGATATTTAATTTCACTTGGTTATTGATGAATTCATAGTACCTAGAACATTTCCACGCATATAGATTAGAATCAAATAGATTTGTTTTGCATATTCTTTACATTTTAGCAAGCTAATTATTCTAAATTCAGAATTTATGATTAATATATTTTAAATGAACATAATCATACAGAAATTTAGTTTTAAGAAAGTTACAATTTAACCTATTCTGTGTACATTAAGGTAATATGTTACATATGCAACTTCATATTTTTATAGATTTCTAATACCCACAACTAAATTTTCAAAGAGGTAATTTATAACTCAAATTTAATTTCTACTTGATCTAAAATACCCATTAAGATATTGGACTTACCATAAATATTTAATATTAATATCAAATAACTATACATTATAATGGTAAAAAAAATGTTTTAACAACATTTAATTGGTAATCAGGTGTAATAGAAATGCTGGGATAAAATCTATATTTGAATCTGACCAATGTAAATTTTAATTGCCCTGTTAAATTGGACAATAATAAAAGGTACCATTTACCATTTATTGAATAGTCTAATTCAGTCTTCAGTACTGTCTTGTTAATTCAACACTGCTGTGTTAGTGTCTTTAAATTAATATATTTAAGATGTTCCTAACTGTATAAAAGTAAAGCAAATTAAAACTGATGTGGACTATGGACATAGAATGAACAAATAACATAATAGAATGAATAATAACATAAAAGAATATATATTTTCATTATGTCATTTATCTTTCCTCTCTGAATTTGAGTTTCGTTGTGAGGTTCATAGTTTATTTTTGTTAATCTCTAAATATAGTGATTTAAAAAGAGAAAAACCTCAATGAGTAGTAGTTACTACTTTTTAATTGGGTGAATACATTAATCCCAGTTCAGTTTCTTGCCTTCTTTCTGGGAGTAGTGATGTCTTCTGAAAGACTTGATTTCCTGACCCCCCTTTCACACCAGTGGTGAGTGATAGAAGAGAGAGCATTCCTACCATACTACCTTTATTCATTATCCTTCCATTCCACCACTTTACATCTTCTTTTCCCTTTTTTGCACACCATGCTTCTACCATTCCTTCAGAAGTTGAATGACAATTCATTCTAAGTTTAGTCATTTGTACAGCACAATTGCGTGTCTTTAATATATGTGAGAGCTTCCACCTCCTGGGTTACCACTAGAAGAACATGATTTGTCACTCACAGATACCTCAGGACTAATATTTTTATGAAAATATTATAGGAACATTATATTTAAACCATTACATTCATATTTTTGTCTTCTAAAAACTTTTTTCCTAAAACTAATCAGAGAGAGATACTTATTTCTGAAGGAAATAAAATCCACCCAAAAAAGAATCTTAATTTTTGCTGTGTTTCAGTTGTATTCAAGCTTGATATAAAAGACTACAGTAAGCTGCTAATTTAACTATGTGATGATACCAAACTTTTTCATAATCAGGTGATTACATGGGGCAGGATGAGATACAACGTAACAATCACATTTCCCCTGGCCTTGTTTCACAAAGGAGGTGCCTAGCTCTTAGTGACACAGTCCTTATATAAAACAGCTAAGACATTTTTGTATCATTAAGTAATTTAGGAAAACCTTCACTAACAATGTTGTATCTTTCTGTTTAAAGGGATATTTAAAACGGTTGAACCTACTGATTCTTCATCAATATCTAGTCATCAAGTTCACTTGCATTTTGGGAATAACAAAGAAAACCAAAAAGCCAGTTCCCAGGAATTCTCTGAACAAAAAATCTCTGCTTAAAAATATCCAGCAATATTGAAATCCCATGTTGAGCAATCATTTTTATGATAGGTTATAAAATACTGTTTCCTATAATGATTAGCAAGTCAGCTATGCTTCTAAGCCTGTTGGTTCTTCATAGCATGTATACACATGGAAAAACAGTATGTAGATGGCAATTGGTGAAAGAATGGCATACACAACCCTCATCATATGTGGTGAATTGGACACTATCCGAAAACATCTGCATGGATGTCTATGGAGATTGCTGGTTTGAGGACATAAATTCTAAAATGAGTACTTCAGGCAATAAATCTCTTCCCCAGATTTGTCCTTTGCAAATTCAATTTGGAGATATTCTTGTAATTTCATCTGAACCATCTCTTCAATCTCCAGAAATAAATTTGATGAATGTTTCTGAAGCATCATTCATTGACTGTCTGCAGAACACCACAACTGAAGAGCAGTTACTTTTTGGTTGCAAGCTGAAAGGAATGCACATTGTTAATTCTAAGTGGCTGAGTATTGGGACACATTATTTTATCACAGTAATGGCAAGTGGTACATCGCTTTGTCAACTGGGACTTCGACTAAATGTGACAGTGAAAGAGCAGTCCTGCCAGGAATATCTGAGTTCTGAGTATTGCTCAGGGCATGGTAAATGTCTTACTGAAATTTGGAGCAAGACATACAACTGCCACTGTGAGCCTCCATTTTCTGGAAAGTACTGCCAGGAACTTGATGCATGTTCTTATAAACCATGTAAAAATAATGGCAGTTGCATTAATAAAAGTGAAAAAAGGAACAAGCGAGGATATGAATGTGTCTGTCACCCACCATTTACAGGTAAGACTACTTTAAAAAATAACATATTCTATTTATTAAAATACAAAAATAAACTGAATTTACAAACTGCTACATACATATATTTTTAATTCTCAGTTTTCTAGACTGAGCTATCCGGCAAAACTTTCATTTAGAACGGAAGGACAGATAAAGTGCTTCTCAGATAAGATCAAATTCAAGGAGTTCATCATCACCAAGCCCTTATTATATGAAATGCTAAAGGGACTTATCTAAGAAAAAGAAGTTAAAAAAACATAAACAGTGAAAGGACAGCAAACTCACAGTTATTAACAACCACACCTAAAACAAAAGCAAACTAAAAGGACAGATGGATCAGGAGTGGAAACATAGAAAGGAAGATCTCAAGGAGGGTTAACAACAGGGGAGAGGGAGGAGGAGAAGGGGGGAGAAGGTACAGAAAATAAGTAGCATAGACAGTAGATAGAAAATAGACGGGGGGGCAAGAAAAGTATGGGAAATATAGAATCTAAAAAACTTGAGACACATGGTCATAAACTAAAGGGGGGAATGGCGGGGACGGGGGGTAGGGTGGAAGGGAATGAAGGGGGGGAATAGAACAACTGTAATGGCATAATCAATAAAAAATAAATAAAATAAATAAATTTGGATTCAGAATATAGAAAAATCATATCAGTGTCTAAAATAAGCTTTTTGCTTAATTTAAGATTTCTTAAAAACACTGTATAAGTTTTATACTGAAATACCTATATTCACATCTTTCTCAAAATTAACTCAATTTCTCACTAAAAATATAAGATCAGAAAAACATGTTTTAGTCACTCAATAAAATTTCCAAGCATGTGGTTGTTTGGGGTAAAAAAGCTCTGGGTGATGATGTGGAAATGAAGTGTGAATCTGAGTTGAGGAATATAATGAACTATGTGGTGTTGCAGGGGAGGCACTGGAGTTGCTCAGGAGAGTTGGAGATGAAAAGATAATTAAGAACCAAAACAATGTTCTTAATGGATGTCAGTGTGGCACCTATAAATAATTGCTAGGTACTACTAAGGAAGGAAAGAGCATGATATAATTAATAACTAATTATCATAAGCTAAGTGAGAAGCACTGATGAGGTTGTAAAAGTATATTTGTTGAGTAGATGAAACCAGTAGATTAAGGGTAATCTAAAAATAATATAAACTATACTACTGAGCCGGAAGTGAGGAATTTGAGAGAAAATAAACTATCTTTATTTGAAAGTTTCCTAGGGAATTGGGGTCATCAGAGGAAAGTGAAGAGAAACATTGAGAATTGTAAGGAACATGTCCAGTCTGGGACTTCATATGAGTTTCTTTCAAATGATAGTTTCAGAAACAGAGTAGAGGATTGATTACAAGGATAATGGATAAAACGAGAATGATCTAGCAAGGTGAAATACTTTGTATGCCTGGCAATGATACTATGAGAAAACAAATCACAAATTAGTAGTGTATGTTGGTCACAAGATTGCATGTGGTGGAAGCAGTAAAGATGATTAAGGTAGATTAGGTTTAGGGATACAACTATAATTTTGTTAGGCAGGCTTTAGGAGATTTCAACAAAGTCTTTCTTCCATGGAGCATGGGATTATGCCTTTGGAGCCAAATATGAGAAGGCTGTGCAAAAAAAAATATGATGGAAGAACTCAGTGAGCCATTGTAAATTCTAAAATTCATCGAAGCCAGTGTTTCATGGAGGTTAGTCTCTATGGTAGGGAAGTACCAAGGCTATTTGAGAAGTTAATCCTGGCTTATTAACATCTACTGAACATCATTCCTTATAACTGGGAACAAATTCTCATTTGACTCTACTGTCCTGGTGATAAAATATATGTCGCCCTACCTATTCTGGAATATATCACATAATTAAATTAAGGCAGTTTAGCCCTGGCTTGTGTAGCTCAGTGGATTGAACATGGGCCTGTGAACCAAACAACTGAGGTTCAATTCCCAGTCAGGGCACATGCCTGGGTTGCAGGCCAGTTCCCAGCAGGGGACACACGAGAGGCAACCACACATTGATATTTCTCTCCCTCTCTCCTTCTCTTCTCCTCTCTCTAAAAAATAAATAAAATCTTTAAAAAATAAATTAATTAAGGCAGTTTAGAAGAAAAAAATGAAAACACTCAAATTGCTTATTTGAGATTAATGAAAAAATAAAATAATTAAAACATTCTACTCATTATGCATACATTTTAAACTTCCCAAAGAATTTTAAAGAATATTTGATCAGAAAGTTTCTATCATCTATCAGAATGTTGACATATATAATCCTATGCCATGGACCATTATTTCAATAATTTTATTGTAAATGTATAGGGTGATTTTTTTTCTTACCCAATGCTTACTTGTTTGTTAGAAACACAACCATAGATAATTTATGTCATTAAATTTAAACACCATAAAATTACCTAATAATATTATTTATTTTGTAAAACATTGACAATGTACTATTATACTAGTTTAGTTATTAATAATTACTTCAATTTTAAGTTTCATAAGATACAGAAATATGTATCATCACCAAAATATTTTTGTTATTATTGTTCCATTTTATTGGTTTTATTGATTTTTTATATTTTTATTTGCTTATTTTTTCCTTTTAATTAAATGTTTTGGGGTGACACTCATTAATAAAATTGTATAGGTTTCAGGTGCACAATTCCACAACATATCAACTACATGTATTGTCTGTTCACTGCCCCAAGTTTAGTCTCCTTCCATCATCATTTCTCTTCCCAATACTCTCTTCATCCTTCCCCAACCCTACCTTCCCCCAGCAATCATTACACTGTTGTCCATGAGAATGTTCACTGTATTAGTTTGCTAGTGCTACCATAAAAAAATAGCATAGTTTGAGTGGTTTTACCAACCTAAGTTTATTTGTGGAGTTCTGGAGTCTAAATGTTCAAAATCAAGCTTTCTGCAGAATGGGCAGAATGGGTTTCCTCTTCCTCGTCCACAGGTCACTATCTCTCTGTGACTTCACATTGTCTTTCCTCTGTGTGTGTTCATGTCCACATATTCTTTTCTTACAAGGACATCACATTTATTTGATTAGGACCCACACTAATGCCCTCATTTAACTTTATTGCTCTCCAAAAACCATTTCCAAATATTGTCAAAGTTTGAGGCCCTGGGAATTAGAATTTCACAAACAGGTGGTAGCAGTTTAGCCCATTATACTCCCTAAGATGGAAATAGGACATGACCTATAAACATCATACTGTTAATTTAGTTTTTATGTATGAAAATATTTTGGCACACAATTATGTGTATTTATATTTTCATTGTGTTGGAGGTTATCTGGAAGTCAATGAAGAAGACTTCTGAGGCAAGAATATCAGTTTATAAGCTATATGAATGATGTCATTGATCATGACAATAAACTTTTAAAATTAAATTATTAATTCATTAGAATAGGGGGTGGGGAGTATTTTGCCAAATTATCTTAACTGTTGTATAGTAACATTTTTCCAATTGCCATGCAATATATATTTCTAGGAACATTCTCATGAAGGATATTATGAGATGATTAACTACATAGAAAAACATGCTATGCAACTTTATGTTATGTGATATAGTAAGACCATAATACTTTATACAAGTAAGATTTGGAAAACTTGATATAAAAACAAGGGCAAGAAAGTATAGAATCTATAATTTTGTGTGTAGCTTCTGAGAATCCAAGCAGCCTTTTCTCTTTTTTTCTCTTAATTTAGATGTTATTATACTGTGGATAGAACATAACATCATATCTACCCTCCTAAATTTTTAGGGGCATAAACTATTATTGTCAACAATAAGTCAAAGGTTATACAACAGGTCTCTAGAGCTTATGTATCTTGCTTAACTAAAATTTCATACCCTGGTTCCTCTTCAAATGGTATAATGTTTTTCCCATTTTTCACTTTGGAAGTGTGACCCTGACTAGGTGGTATGTATAAGATACCATGCATCACTTTGTAAATGCTACCAGTGCACATTTACACTGGTGGCCTTTGTAAATGTACATTGAAGAACTGGTAGTTATATGTGCCATCCACTTTCAAAACGTGATTAGCAAACTCAAATTATCATGAAAATTAACTGAAGGTCCAATATCAACAATCTGAAAAATATTTGATAGTATAATAAGGGCCAGGAGATGGAAACACTTATGTTCAAGTGTACTGAAACTCTTTCCATTTAAATACATCATCATGGAACAATATTTCTTAATTAGAATTACATTTTGTCAAAATGTTCATATTACTTATCATTAACAAATTTGAGAAAAATCAATGACTATAATTAACTTTATATAAAAGGGAAACATTTTAACCTAGTTAGAAATTAATTTACTTTCATTTTTTCAGGCATAAATTGTTCAGAAGTAATTGAGCAATATCAACTACATGTCTGTTTCCATGAGAAATGGAGCAATATTACTGCAAAAAGTTTCATTTCTGAGTGTGATGAACCATATTCAGGTAAAAACATGCATATATATGCAAATAGTTGTTATTTTGCTTTATTTAGTTTAAATTAAATTAAAATGTTTCATTTATTACTAAAAATATAATTTTAGAGTTTGTATACTGACCTATTTTAGGGATAAGATTAATAAATCTATTAGGTTAACAATGATTAATTATCCTGTTAAATATTCTATAATATAGCAGAGTTTGGATACCAGGTGACGTATTTTTATATTATGATAAAATATATTTTATTCTTCAATACTGAAATATTTTTAGAAATAGTGCATATTTTGCTGATAACTGCATAGTCATATCTAATTTATTTCCTTAGGTATACCATTACAGACAAATCCCATTTTATGAGGAATAAACTTTTTTATTTTTCAAATGAATTTAAAGATGTAAAATGAAATAATTGTTTAAACCAACAGTTTCTTAACTTTGATTAAATGCTTTAACAATGAAAATGTATTTAAACGATTACCTATACCTTTGAACTCTTCTACAGTTTTCCATTCTCTAGGGAATGTAGCTGATGAATATCAGTGTATATGTCCTACTTCAAAGTATCTTTAGGCAGTGGTATATTTAGCTACAGATACATATCCTAAAATTTCCTCTTTTGGAAGTGAAACAAAATATGATTGGCTCCCAAACTATGGAGAATGGTGATAATCCACAGTATTTCTCTTTCAGGCCCTTCTAATTAAATTGAGAAAGACTTGAAATTTCTGGTAGAGTACCTCTGCCATTGCTCATAGTAAGAGGGGATGGTAACTGCAGGCAGGAAGAACTCCTCTTGTATGCAGAGCCTAAGAACCTAACGGACAACATTGAAACACACTCATAGATGCAGGGAAAACTGAGGGCTGCCAGGTGAGAGGGTGGTGGATAGCTGAATGAAAAAGGTAAAAGGATTTAGAAGTACAAATTTATAGTTACAAAATAGCCATGGGGATTTAAAGTACAGCATTGAGAACATAGTCAATGATGCTGTAAAAACTACGTATGGAGCCAGGTTGGTACTAGAATTATTGGGAGGATAACTTTGTAAATTATATAATTTTCTAAACATTATGTTTTACACCTAAGACTACTATGAAATAATACTGAATGTCAATTGACAAAACTTAAAAAAAAAAGATGAAACCTTAAATTGAAAAAAAAGAAAGAAAGAAACTCTACTCTATTCAAATGTGTCTTTTCAGGCCTTGTTTCCTTTAATTTTTTGTTTCCTTGAGACTCATTATGAGTTGAAAAATGTTTTAAAGTCTCTTACCTTGTTCTGCATACATATAGTAACCATATGATTTTCCTTTCAAACTGGCATTTTTCGGCAAAAGAGGTAGCTAAAAGTAGTTACAACTATATATTTGAAACATTTACTTATTGATTGGTAATTTTGTTTCATTAAATAGGGAGACCTATGAAGTAGTTTATCTAAAAATTACTTTTAAATAAAATTCTTTCAAAGAAAATAATAACTTTATATCTATAAATCAAAGAAAAATAAAACATATTTTATATTTTCTGAATATTGTAAAATAGTATCAGCAGAAACTATGTTTAGCCATTTACCTCAAATAGCATGTTGTCAATATATTTTTGAAGAATTAGTATGTTTTCCATATGATCTTATTATTTAAATTTTTCATAAAATCATCTATATCCTTTTCAATGTTGCATTTATGATTAATAAATTTAAAATTATTAATGCCTCTAGTTAATTCTTTTCTTAATTATGCCCTTCTTAATTGAAACAATATTTATTATACTCATTGATTTTCTGTTAATCTCAAAGGAAAATCTAAATGGAAAATATTCTCAGTGCTACTTTTTGTAAAAAATACATACATGAAATCTTTCCACCAGAACCCTATTTTTACTCTATTCAAAAATATTTTCATCAGAGCCCTATTTTACTTTCTTCAGAATTCTTTTCTTTTTTTCCTAGGGTTGTTGTAGGGTTTATTTTATTTTATTTTATTTTACTGTTGTCAGCTTTGTATTTATGAGGAAACTTATTCAGTGGAAAACAAAGTAGCAAAATCAAAGCAAAACAAAACATGCCGCCATTCCAGAACCACTCTAAACAACTAATACTATATCTTCCTCAATGTAGCTGCAGTTTGGGAGCTTATTTAATATATCTCTAAATTGGAAATGTCTAACCAGTCAGGTTGCTTGAAAACAAGAAAGCTGCTAAAATTTTTAAAAATTATTTATATATATTATCTCTGGGTAAGGTATAGAATTGTATCAAGACGAAGTAGAAGTAGCCATTGTGAAAGTTTAATTTAAAATTTTAGTCAGGACACAATTATTTTCTTTGACAAACACTTTCAAAAATAATTCTCATCATTCCATTGAGTGTTTGGCGAAACTTAGGTACTTCAAAGGTCCAAAGGTATCCAAATTTTTGGCATCTCTGGGTCACACTGGGAGAAAGGTTGTCTTGGGCCACACATTAAATATATTGTGACACATAATCACAAAAATGCCGATAATGTCTTAAGTAAATTTATAATTTTGTGTTGGGCCATATTCATAGCCATCCTGAGCCACATGTGGCCTGTGGACAGTGGCTTGGACACCCCTGTTCAGCCTTCTCAACTTACTTCCATTTTGTACTAGCACATAGATCTATCCATGAAGTACAGGATCACCCTTGCCCAGCTCTTCCAAAGCACAATTATAATGCTTATAATCTTGTACACTTCTGAACATAGTGAATTAGTTTATTGTCTTCATTGCATTGTGCAGGAATACACTTTAATGTCTTTTTAAAAATAAGTACAACTGACTAACACTTTCATAAATATTTTTGTGCTTAATATATTGGTTTTCATTAAATTATTGTAACTGATTTTCAACAATATACGATTAAAATTTACGGGATTATTTCACTAAAATGTGAAGACATCCCTGAAATACTTAGGTTTATTTTCATAGCCATCATTCAGAAGTTTAAACATTATTAAAATCTAAATGTTAATGTATAATAATGAGAGAAAACACATTCTGCCACGTTACATTTTTTTGTTAGTATCTGCTTTGTCACAAAAATTTAATAGTGTTCCTATGTTGTTAATATTTAAAATTATTTGTGGATTTTTCAGCTCTAGATTCTATTTTCAATTGTGTGAATATTATAATATATTGAGTTCAGCATGGATAATACCCTTTTTATTACAAAATTATAAGCATGTAATTCTATAACATAATGATATCACACTAAAGCTCACCACATGGCATTTTAGGTGAAGTGTTGAAATTAAAACTGTAAATTATTTACCTATATTGTTATCTGCTTGATCCTGTACTTATAATGTCATATATATATATATATATATATATATATATATATAATTTTAACACAAGAACCAGTTTATCTTTGAAAATTTTTACTATATTTTTGTAGCATTTCTAATATTATCAGGTATCTTACCTTCAACCAAATAAACTTGTAGTTTTTTTTTAATAAATTGTATGGAAAAACAAACCATTATTGAAATGAACATTATTTCTTCAAAGCCTCTGATTTTACTAGCATTAGTGTAACATGTTTAAATTGTAGGCAAATGTATTCTATCCTCGGAGCCAACACATTTATAAGGATACTTTAATTTTTGTATGTAAAAACACATGCAGTAGAAATTAAGGGAAATAATTTTGGGACCATCATTTGATTTAATGGTGGAAAGAAGGAGAAGAGTTTAGTCAAAGAACTCGTACGAGTGACCCATAGATGGGGACGACAGTGTGGGCATTGACTGTGGGAGCAGGGGGTGAGCTGGATGGACCAGGTCAAAGAGGGAAAAATGGGAACAACTGTAATAGCATGACAATAAAAAATATATAAATAAATTAAATAAAAAGACATGCTTCACAGTGTGATATAATGGAAGAATACATTTTGCATGTGCAACTAACTCAGCATTGGCAAGCAGTATTCTAAAATAATATTTAAAATACATGCTGATGAATCTTTAACTAGTGTGTATATTCTAGTTTTCATATAAACAGTGATGTCACTAATACACTATGGAAATTATGAAGAGTAACATAGTTTAGGTAAAAACTACATATTTACTATCAAATTTATAGTGAAACAAATTTAAAATATTTTTATTAAACTGTAGATTGTTTCTTTTGATCTTATAACACATTAAATATTTATTGAAGTAAGAAATAAATGTCAGCATACAATACAATATGTAAATATTAGCATGTTTATACCAAGGGCTTTTATAATATTTTTCTGTAAGCAGTTAGATGGTAACTATTTTAGACTCTCAGAACTATATGTTCTCAACTGCAATAACTCAGCTCTGCTGTGGTACTATGAAACAGCCATAGATAATATATAAATAAATAAATTTTATTAGGTTCCAATAAAACTTTATTTACAAAAATAAGTGGAAGATTATATTTGGCTCACAGTTATAATGTACCATCCCCTGATTTATATCATACAATAAATGACCAAATCTCAATAGCAGGAACATATAGACAACTCCCTATAAATTCTATGGTAGGACTACTTGGCCTCAATTTGTCTCTGATATAAAACAGAGACATAACCTATAATTTTCTGTGGTTCTTGCTGACCCAGCAGCCTACTTGCCGGCAGACAGCTTTCCAGTCTCAGGGCAGCAGCGTCAGACCCTCGTCCCCCTGCCAACTGAGAACAGGAGTCAGCCTTTTGTGGCTGCTTGGGTCTTTAAAATCCCACAAGCTCTCCTTAAATGACAGATACATTTTGAATCTGGAAATGACTGGGAAAAGAGAGGTAGATTATCACTGGTTAACTTGCTAGTTTATCCTCATGTTAAAATAATTCACTGTTGGCCCTGGCTGGTGTAGCTCAGTGGATTGAGCACGGGCCTGCGAATCAAAGGATCGCGCAGTTCGATTCCCAGTCAGGGCACATGCCTGGGTTGCAGGCTGGTTCCCTGCAGGCCAGTTCCCAGCAGGGGATGCACAAAAGGCAACCATACATTGATGTT